CCTCCTCTCCTCCTCCTTTCTTCTTCTTCTCTCCTCCTCATCCTCCTCCTCCCCCTTTCTTCTCCTCCTCCTCCTCCTCCTTTCTTCTCCTTCTCCTCCTCCTCCTCGTCCTGATTTCATTGGATTTGTTTATTAGGCAAAGTGCCGCGTGGCCACATCGGTGCGCTGAAAAGCACCACGTGTCGGGATAGGCAAGCTGTGGTGAAATCCCGCCGCTAGTTAACCTACTGACGGGCGAGATTCCTCTCTCTCTCTCTCTCTCTCTCCTCTCTCTCTCTCCCCGTCCTCCTCCTCCCTCGTCTATTTTTTTTTTTTCATCATCGCCATACAAAACAGGCAGGTCCTCTTCCTCCTCCTCCTCTCCTCCTCCTCTCGTCTTCTCCTCCTTTCCTCCTCCTCCTCCTTTCTCCTCCTCCTCCTCCTTTCTTCTTCTTCTCTCCTCCTCCTCCTTTCTTCTTCTTCTCTCCTCCTCCTTTCTCCTCCTTCTCCTCCTCCTCCTCGTCCCGATTTCAATGGAATTGTTCATTAGGCGAAGTGCCGTGAGGCCATGTCAGTGCGCTGAAAAGCGCCACTCATCGGGATAGTAGGCGAGCTGCGGTGAAATCCCGCCGCTAGTTAACCTACTGACGGGCGGGATTCCTCTCTCTCTCTCTCTCTCTCTCCCCCCCCCCCCCCCCCCCCTCACCGTCTATTTTTTTTTCGTCATCGCCATACAAAACGGGCAGGTCCTCTTACTCCTCCTCTCGTCGTCTCCTTCTTCTCTCCTCCTCCTCCTTTCGCCTTGTCCTCCTCCTCTTCCTCCTCCTCCTCCTCCTCCTCCACTTGTCTTCTTGTTCTCCTCTCCTTCTCCTTTACCTACTTTTGCCTTCTCCTTCTCTCCCCCTCCTCCTCGTCCTCCTTCATGGTCGTCCTTTTTTCTTTCTTCCGTCATCCCCATACAGTAGCGTCAGGTCCTCCTCCTCCTGCTCCTCCTCTCGTCTTCTTCTTCTTCTCTCCTCCTCCTCCTCCTCCTCCTCCATTCGTCTAGTCCTTTTCTCTTGCTCCTCCTCCCCTCGTCTTCTTCTTCTTCTCTCCTCCTCCTTTCGTCTTGTCCTTCTCTCCTCCTCCTCTCGTCTTCTTCTTCTTCTCTCCTCCTCCACCTACTTATTCTTTTCCTCCTCTCCTCCTCCTCCTCTTCGACCTCCATCATCTTTTTTTTTTTCCGTCATCCACATACACCACCGGCAGGTCCTCCTCCTCTTGCTCCTCCTCTCGTCTTCTTCTTCTTCTCTCCGCCTCCTCCTCCTCCTCTCATTTTGTCCTTCTCTCCTCCTCGACCTCCTTCATCGGCTTCTTTTTTTTTTCCCGTCATCCACATACACTACCGGCAGGTCCTCCTCCTCCTGCTGCTCCTCCTCCTGTCGTCTTCTTCTTCTTCGCTCCTCGTCGTCGTCCTCCTTTTGTCTTGTCCTTCTCTTCCCCTCCTCCTCCTCCTCCTCCTCCTCCTCCTCCTCCACCTACTTATTCTTCTCTTTCTCTTCTCCTCCTCCACCTACTTATTCTTCGCGTTCTCTCCTCCTCCTCCTCGAACTCCTTCATCATTGTCTTTTTTTTTCCTGTCATCCACATACTCTACCAGTAGGTCCTCCTCCACCTCCTCCGCCGCCTCCTATTGTCTTGTTCTTCTCTCCTCCTCCTCCTCTTCCCGTCTCCTCCTCCTTTTGTCTGTTCGTTTTTCAAGTCTCTATCTTTTTCCTCCTCCTCCTTTCCTCTCCTCCTTCCTCCACTCCTCCTGTTATCTTCTTCTTTTTCCTCCTTTCTTGATCTTGTTCTTCTTCCTCCTCTTCCTCCTCCATCTTGTTCTTCCCTCCTCCTCCTTTCATCTGTTTCGTTTTTCAAGTCTCCATCTTTTTTCCTCCTCTCCTCCTCCTCCTTTCCTCCTCTTCGTCTTCCTCCTCCTCCTCGTCTTCTTCCCTCGTCCTCCTCCATATCTTACCGCCCACCATCTCGCATATCTGCCAGCCATATTGTACCGCCCGCCATATCATAACGGGCGCTATCTCCTGTTGACTTTTTTTTTTCCTGCCCATATTGTACCGGCAGACAGCAGCTTCTTCTTCTTCTTCTTCTTCTTTTTCTTCTACTTCTACTACTTCTACTTCTTCTTCTTCTTCTTCTTCTTCTACTTCTTCCGATAATTTCACTCTCTTTCTTCCCTCGCTGTTGGCCCTTGCATCCTTTACTTACACGACACTATGGCGGGCGGCGGTAGCGGCGTCGGTGGGGGGAATGGGGGGTCTGGAAGGACGAGATGCAAAACGGCAGCAGACAAAGGAAAAGGCCATGTTGCAAGCACCTCCACGACACCCTCATCGACAGTGACCT